ATGACCAATCCTAGAGCATGAAACAGAAACACGTTTGTGAACTTTATGTTAGACATGGAATCTTATGTTTAAATGAGTTACTGTATTTTTGGTATGTAGGTGTAGAATCATTCAATCTGTGCTTTACGAAATTGAGACATTATCCAAACACATATTTCAGTATGATACCAGCAAATTTTTACAAAAAACAAGAAATAAAGAAATAAATAAATACATTTCTGTCAGAATGTGTGTACCTGTAAAGGCTTATATTTTCATTTGGGCTGACCATCTTCATCTTATGACATCGTAAAGTTTTATTCACATTACATTCACGTATTAATTATTAATACTGCCAGTTAATTATTAACAATTGATTTCTGATCTTTAACCACACATTTATTACTTCAGTTGTAACCCTTAAATCAAAATTTTTTTTCTAGAAATGCACCCTTAGGTCCACCTCACTAACCAAACAAATCTAGAAGACAAGTAGTGTTTGATGTGATGGTGGGTAAAATAATTTATGTAATTATGTTATGAGGTATAATTATGTATAATTTCTTGCTCCATAAGATTGTTTAGTTAAGTAGTTTAAGGTTCAAGGTTAATTTGTCTACAAAACAGGGTTGCACAACAAAATGCAAGTTATCGTTCCTTAATGCTACACATATAAAGAATGTAGAATTAAACAATATGGAAAAACGTTTTATTTATTTTATTTAAATTTTTTTATTTGTGCCCTTTCAGCAAAGAGCACCTTGAAAAGGATAAGGTTCTCCTTTCAAACTATTAGAAGTTGCAAACAAAGATTGAATGTTAACTGGAATGTATTAATGATGCAACATTTTGAGATGATGTCAGCCAGGTTAAATGTATAATTAATTTAGTTTAAGACTTTTTGGTGAAACTAAGTTCTCTCAGAACTGTTTTGCACACAGATTGTTGTTGCACTTCTGCCCTCTGGTGGCTGAAATAAGACAAGGTGCAACCTGAGGATCTCACACAGCCAATAAATATCCCACTCACTGCACAAATTGGGACATATACCGTTTTGTAAAGCAGTTACTAGGCCCTAATGGACTACAGCTATTGCTGCTTTACCCTGTTGAAATGCTCACTAGCAACAAGTAAAAGTTGACAAAATCCAGCTTCTGCCACGATTGAT